ATGGAAAGTCAAGCTAAGAGAGAAGGGGTGATCTCAAGTGTTCTCTCTCTCTCTCTCTTTCTCTCTCTTTTTCTCTCTCTCTCTCTCTCTCTCTATTTGAGAAACCTTGTAAGTCGAAAGATCTCTGACGAGCCCGATATTCTAGCTTACTGGATTCTTGAGTTCATTAGATAATCTGTAAGACCTCTTCTACTTTTCTACAAAAATAGGATCTTTACCGGTTTGTATATACTCACAAACAATATGGAACCCTACGTCCTAAAAAGATCGAACAGATAATAAGATAATTATTCTGATACTAGCACTGAATTATAGTGATATAGTGTTCTTTAATGATGCAATGTTATTTATTACATGCTTTATTATTTTGCAGCACATTCATATTTTGCTTTCTATTAAGGGGGCAGCTTTGGCTCTACCCATAGACATTTTGGGTTGGATTTTATTATCTTGGATGAAGCATTTAATCAAATTTATGGGGTGTCGTTGCTGATATTATGAAGCAAACAAAGCCTAAACATGCTATGAAGTGGCTTGAGTTTTTATTACAGTCTTAAATTGGTGATGAAGAGAGGCTACTTAGGTTTTGGATAAATTTTAAATTCATATGTTATCCAATGAATTGGAATAAGGTTTTAGATGATATGTGAAATTATAGTCTAAGACGTTCATGATATTAGAGAGAGAGAGCGCTTTAGCTGTATGATCTGACATATTCGATACTTTAATTTAAAAAACAATCTTGTAGTTACAAAAAAACCTTCAAGTTACTAATGATTGCCTGCAATTTTTATGGATGAATATTTATTTTTCATTAACTTTGATTCATATGAAGATTGATTATTGTAATTGTAACAATAATTTAATTCTTTAATTGTTAATGTATTTAATTGTAATTGTGTACTCTTTTACTATAATTGCACTTTCTATTCCTTAATTTATGCATTGTATGTGTGCCGCTTCTGTATTAATGCAGTGAAATGATACTGCTACTGCAAAGTTGGAATCTGGTTCAAACTTTGCTCTATAACTTTAGTTTGGGCTTGAGCTGATGGTGGGTTCGAATACTTTGTCAACAAGGTCTAAAATTGGTTTTAACTTGGCTGTATTCATCCATTCATGCTTCATGATCAGAACATTATGTATTATCATATGAAATTATATTTGAATACATATATGATTTGAATCTTGTTTGAACAGTCAAATTTTTGTTCTAACATTGCTCAGACATTCAAGCAGTATTTGATTATTTTTTGAGTTGTGTTTGAACTTTCGTCTAATCTATTGTAATTGTGTTCCCATTAGGCCCAAATTCAAACTTCGTTCGTTTGAACATAATTATAATATTGTTCTAACGTGTTACAAAACTACGGTTTGAACTGTATATGAATTTTATTTCAGCCTAAACAAGAGTATATACTAATATTAACATTATTTATATGTGCTTTGCCACTCCACGTCTAACTCAACTTGGTTTCGCTCCCTTCGCTTTGCCCACCTATAGTATCGGCTCGTCTTCGTCTTTTTTGTGCTTAAATTATATAAAAAAGAATCACATTCATCAACAATATCTAATATACATCGGTTCAATACAAAGAATTATATATCAAGAGAGCTTTATTGTTCACAACCGAAAGGATGTAGGTCTTACAGATTGCAGAGATACAAATTTTAACAGGGCCTTTTTAAAAATAGACTTTATGTGGATAATTCTTACAATATTTATGTGTTATCTTTATAGGATGATGATACGTAGAATCATCAATCTTTTGCACCATTTTCTTAGGGATGGTCATTTTTCTCTACACAGCATGTGAATATTGATGTTCAATATTTGGTTTGAATATTATTTGACCAAGGCTGAAATAGAGGTAGAACAGTCTTCAACATTTTTGAAAGCTTATTCAAATTAAGATTGAAATAGATTCGATCGATGACTACAAGAAGTTGGAATCATTTTCAAGATATTCAGAACATTGTTTGAACAATATTCAAATATTCTTTGAACTAAAGCTTTCATGAGGTTTTAATGTGTAGATAAAGGTTTAAATTATATTTAAATCTTTTTGTTTTTACCATTGATGGAACTTGTTCGGATCTTTTATTATTTGTTTTGTTTTATGAACAATTTTAAACTAAATGACTTCAATTTAGACTTATTCTTTTATTGAAAATCAATAAAAATTCTTTGAATGATTAATGAACCACTTTTAATCCTATAACCATTATTTTAAAATATAATGGAATACTCTGAACTTAACTAATATTAAGAAGAAATTTCACATGTTAAGGATGAGAAAAATTAGCAGAAGCTATAAAGAAAACAAAGGATTTGTATAATGGAGCTAATAATTGTGATACTTGAAAACTTGAGTGGGACTTGGTTTGAAGCAAAATGGGCACTTTTAGGTATGTCTTCCTAAATAAATTTTCACCCATACTTCTTCAAATAAATATTTATGAGGGATTTATTTCCAAATGCATGTATTATCAGGCTTAAGTATACTCAAAATTTTCAGATATATTTATATATTAAAATACATATTGTATAAATTTGATTTATTTCTTAGTTAACATGATCTTTTATTTAAAATTAGACTATTCTTGTATCTAATTGATTAATGGCCTTTCTTTAATATTGCTCTCTTTATGTTCTCATATAAAACAAAATTTAAATGTCAATGCGAGTTTTACTTTGCAGTACATGCATACTTTATGGTATGATATATCCATCATATGTATTATGTAATATGCAAGGTCTTAAAATATTTTAGTGTTATTAAATATCAACTCTTATATATATATGATATATCCATCATATGCATTATACGCTCTTATTGAGTTTGCATTAGGGAAGAGAAATAGGAGATATTGATACACCCGTGAGCCAGGATAATGAATAATGTAGTCATATACAAACTGATGAGGACGTTATTGAGCCCTAACAAAATGCTTCATCTATTGAGGTTGTAATAAAATTGTTGTTCAAGTCGTTGAATATGAAAGGAGTTTAAAATGAATCCTAAATATTTAGCTAAAGATTTTACAAAAGTTGCAAACTAATTGATCTATGTGCCTTCAATCATCTACGCTTGATTATCCAAAAACAGTTGTGTTACTTTCAAATCATGAATGATAGAGGTTAGTGATGGCTCAAAACAAGGGGGAGGTTGGAGTGGACATCCTTAGCACATCATGCTTGCAATAGCTGAATACAATCATAATTTGATTGGATAATGTATACACAAATATGACTGTATAGGAATTTTTACGCATACCCTCGAGTTTATATGTCGAAGTAGCTGAATCAAGCCCGTCTACAAAAGTGGCTGAATTGAGCCCACTTGCCGAAGTGGTTGAATTGAGTCTACCTGCTGTACCTGCCGAAGTGAAAGAATCAAGCTCACCTGCCTAAGTGGTTGAATTGAGCCCACCTATTGAAGTGGTTGAATCAAGCCCACCTGCCTAAGTGGTTGAATTGAACCCACCTATTGAAGTGGTTGAATCAAGCCCACTTGTCGAGGTGGTTGAATCAAGCTCACATGTCGAAGTGGCTGAACTGAGCCTACCTGCAGAAGTGGTTGAATCAAGTCCACTTCCCGAAATGGTTGAATTAATCCCACCTGCCGAAGCGACTAAATTAATACCACCTGCTGAAGTAGTTGAACCCATTTCTTCTACTCATGGGGAGTTAGCTTAGCCCACCCAAAGAGGTACAATTACTGGAGATGGTCATTATTACTAGCAAGGATGTGGGTCCATTCATTTTTATATTTGTCCTCTAACACCCACATTAATGTCTTTTCATCAAGACACTTTTGATGGGAGTCGGACAACACTAAAGACACTTTTTAGTATTTTTTCTCCTTGTATAAATGGAAAGTCAAGCTAAGAGAGGTTTGATCTCAAGTGTTTTCTCTCTCTCTCTCTCTCTCTCTCTGAGAAACCTTGTAATTCGAAAATTCTCTGACGAGTCTAATATTCTAGCTTACCAGATTCTTGAGTTCAATAGATAATCTGTAAGGCCTGATCTACTTTTCTACAAAAACAGGATCTTTATCGGTATGTCATACTAAAAAATAATACGGAACCCTACGTCCTAAAAGGATCCAACAGATGATAAGATAATTATTCTAATTCTAACACAGAATTATAGTGATATAATGTTCTTTAATGATGCAGTGTTATTTATTACATGCTTTATTATTTTGCAGCACATTCATACTTTGCTTTCTATTAAGTCGGCAGCTTTGGCTCTACCCATAGACATTTTGGGTTGTATTTTATTATCTTGGCTGAAGTATTTAATCAAAATTATGGAGGAGTCGTTGCTAAAATTATGAAGCTAACAAAGCTTAAACATGCTAAAAGTGGCTTGAGTTTGTATTCGAGTATTAAATTGATGATAAAGAGAGGTTACTTAGGTGTTGGATAAATTTAAAATTCATATATTATCCATTGAATTGGAATAAGGTTTTTAGATAATATGTGAAATTATAGTCTAAGATGTTCATGATATTAGATGAATGAGGCCCTTTTTTTTTTTACCAACTCAAACATCATTGAGGTCACTCTGGAAATGGAGGGCGATTACATTGTTAAAAGGGTTGTTTTCTCATGGGAAAGACATTCATCAGTCATCACCTTAAAAATGGAGGGCGATTACATTTAAAATTCCCAGAGTGTCGGGCAAATTACTTTGATTGTAAATACATAGTCTTTCATTATCTTATATTTTTGTGATTTTAATAGCTCAAATATTTACCTGTTTAAAAAATAATCTGGTAGTTAACAGAAAAATATTGAAGTTACAAATGATTGCATGCAATTTTCATGGATGAATATTTATTTTTCATTAACTTTGATCCATGAGAAGAATGATTATTGTATTTGTAAAAATAATTCAATTCTTTAATTGTTAATGTATTTCATTGTAATTGTGTACTCTTTTACCATAATTGCACTTTCTATTCTTTAATTTCTGCATTGTATGTGCGCAGGTATTGTATTAATGCATTGAAATGATACTGCTACTACAAAGTTGGAATCCGGTTCAAACTTTGCTCTATTACTTGTACTTTGCGCATGAGCTGATGGTGCGTTCGAATACTTTGTGTCAACAATGTCTAAAATTGGTTTTAACTTTGCTGTATTCATGCATTCATACTTCATGGTCATAACATTGTGTATTATCATATGAAATTATATTTGAATATATATATATATATATATGATTTGAATTTTGTTTGAATAGTCAAATTTTTGTTCTAACATTGCTCAGACATTCGAGCAGTATTTGATTATTTTTTGACTTGTGGTTGATCTTTGTGTAATCTGCTGTAATTGTGTTCCTATTAGGCTCAAATTCAAACTTTGTTTGAACATAATTATAATATTGCTCAAACGTTTGTACAAAACTACGGTTTGAACTTGAACCGTATTTGAATTTTATTTGAGCCTAAATAAGATTATATTCTAACATAAACATTATTTAGATGTGCTTCACCACTCCACGTCTCACTCAACTTGGTCTCGCTCCCTTCGCTTTGCCAACCTATCGTATCAGCTCGGCTTCGTCTTTTTTGTGCTTAAATTATATATTAAAAAAAAAAAACATTCATCAACCCATATCTAATATACATCGGTTCAATACAAAGAATTACATATCAAGAGATCTTTATTGTTCACAACCGTTTCGAAAGGATGTAAGTTTTAAAGATAAATATTATAAAGATACAAATTTTTATAGGTCTTTTTTAAAAATAGATTTTATGTGGATAATTCTTAGAATTTATTAAAGTGTTATCTTTATAGAATGATGATAAGTAGAATCATCAATCTTTTGCACCATTTTATTAAAGATGTCATTTTTCTCTACACAGCATGTGAATATTGATGTTTGGTTTGAATATTATTTGACCAAGGCTGAAATAGAGGTAGAGCAGTCTTCAACATTTTTGAAAGTTTATTCAAACTAAGATTGAAATAGATTCGATCGATGACTACAAGAAGTTCAAATCATTTTCAAGATATTGAGAACAATGTTTCAACAATATTCAAATATTCTTTGAACTAAAGCTTTGATGAGGTTTGAACGCATCGATAAAGGTTTGATATATATTTAAATCTTTTTTTTTTTTTTAACCATTGATGGAACTTTTTCGGATCTTTTATATGACATTTTGTTTGGTTTTATGAACAATTTTAAACTATATGACTTCAATTTAGACTTGTTCTCTTATTGAAAATCAATACAAATTCTATGAATGATTAAATAATCTCTTTTGATCATATACCCATTATTTTAAAACATAATGAAATACTATGTTCTTAGCTATAGGAGAATGAAGGATTTGTATAATGGAGATAATAATCGTGATACTTGATAACTTGAGTGGGACTTGTTTTGAAGCAAAATAGGCACTTTTAGTTATTTCGTCCAAAATAATTTTACCCCACCATGCTTCTTCAAATAAATATTTATGAGGGATTTATCTCCAAATGCATGTATTATCAGGCTTAAAAATAGTCAAAATTTTCAAATATAACTTATATATTAAAATACGTTTTGTATAAATTTGATTTATTTATTTCTTAGTTAGCATGATCTTTTATTTAAAATTAGACTATTCATGTATCTAATCGATTAATAGTCTATCTTTAAGCCATTGCTCTCTTTATATTCTCATATAAAACAAAACTTAAATATCATGCGAGTTTTACTTTGCAGTACATGTATACTTTAGGGCGTGATATGTCCATCATATGCATTATGTAATATGTAATGTATCATATGCATTATGTAATATGTAATGTATGAAAGGTCTTTGAATTTTTTAATGTTATTAAATATCAACTCTCATATATATATATGCGGGCATATGCATACATACTACCCAATTCCTATGTATTTATATATCTAATACCTAAATTTTAATTCATACATTTATACCACTCAAATCTTTCACATTACATAAAGAATACTACTAATATAATTTTTAGTTGTATACCATGCAAATTATCCTTGTTAAATATTTCTCTCCCTTCCATCACGCCCCCCTCTAAGACCTTCTTCCCCTATTCCGTCACGAAACAGAAGAGACGATGCACTCTACCGCCTCTTCTCCTTACAAATCGGTTCGGCGAGATCTCGCTGAACTCCCATCACGCTCCTCTCGCATCTGCACCTTGATCTCTGCTGCCTCCCCTCAGTTCTGCTACACACACGTCTCAAATTCTTATGATTTGCGTGAAGCCGTTCTTCCTATTCTACTTCTATGTCCTTTTCACCTTCTCATTAAGGATTACGAGGTGCTCCGACACACTTGCTACAATTCTTCCCGTTTTTTCTATTAATGTTATTGTGGTTGGATGCTCATTTTGTTCATCTAGCTATCTGGTTCCTGATTGCATTATACACAACATTGCATGCACCCTTACATGCATAAGGTGGTCCACATGTAAAAGTAAATGGCTTGTATGCAAATATTTCATATATATATATATATATATATATATATATATATCTCATAAGAAAGTATGACCAAACCAAACTTCATTTCCAAATTTGCTGAAAACCTTCATTCCAAAAACATGAACTTTTAATAAACATTATATATTAAAAAAACAATATTAAATACTCAATAGCTCATATATATAAATATATATATTTATATATATATATATATTTATTTTTATTTGCACAAACGAAGTAAAAGCAGCTGAATCACCAAGCCACAAAACACAACAAGACCTTCAAAAAAAACCCAACCCAATTTCCACCATCTTCAACATCTAACCTAACAAAAATGCAGCCACCACAAAACCCATCATCCCCAATCCAACACTCAATCCCCTTCCTCTGCTACCCTCCGAAGCTTCTCTGTCGCGCTCCTCATCTCCATGACTACCCTTCTTCTCCCCATTCCCCTCACCATCCATCGCCGGCGCCGGCGCCGGCCCCTCCACATCACTCGGATCATACGCCTTAATCCCAATCTCAAACTTGCAGCTTCCCTTGCTATAATCCTTCGTCGTCTCCTTCCCCAACCCTTCAAATCCACAGGTCCCAATCCCCTGCCCCAGCGCCTGATAATACGAATTAAACGCATACGAAGCCTGCATTTCCAAATCCATCCCCGAACAAGACGAACCATAGCTCAGCGGCATGCAATCCGCTCCATGACTGCACGCGTAATCCATGTTCGCCCTCACCCTGCTCTCGTTCTTCCTCTGTTTCGAGTCTGTGTTAAAAACGCACCATTTCTTCGGCCAGTAGTCCACTCCCACCGCCCCAACAGCCTCCTTTCCCGCAACTCCGCCGCCCGATAAATCCACCGGAAACTTCGGCTTACCGTCAGTTGTAAATATCCCCCAGCTCCTCTCAAATGGACCCGGAAGTATGCTCTTCGCTTCTTCGTCGAACAGCCCGAAGAGATAAACTTCTATATCCTCTTTTGGCCTCTGCGGCGTCCCTGTTTTCTTAGCTATTTTCTGCGTTATCCCTCTGTAGAATCTACCCGCTATAGATGTGTTGGCGTGCACATCTCCGTCGGTCGGCCAACCCACTTCTCCGACGATGATCGGAACTTCACCGCATCCCTCTGATTTCAGCGCGGCGAGGAGCGTGTCGTAATTCGCATCGAACACGTTCGTGTAAACAAAATCTCCATCGGAGACTGTCTTCCCCTTTCCGTCGAAGAAAGCGAAGTCGGCGGGGAAGTTGGGATCGATATAAAGGCTGAAGAAGGGGTAAATGTTGACGGTGAAAGGTGCCCCTGTTCGATTGTAGAATTTGACGATGTCGGACATGAGATCAGCGACATCGTCCCGCCATTTTCCGGCGGAGGGAACAGGATTCCACCAGGGGGAGTAGTAGATATCGGCGTTGAGGGGAATGGTGGCTTTGATTTGATCGCCAAGTCCGGCTTCGTCGAGAGCTCTCTGAATGTTTTTGAGGGCGGGGAAGGTGACATTGGTGAACATGTCCTTGTAGTCCTTGAGGAAAGGCTCGTTCCCGACGGCTACGTGGGTGATGTTGACTCTGTAATGGGTGCGATAATGGGTGACGTTGGATTGGACCCAAGCTTTAGCGGTGGCGTAGTTGTTCATAGGGGCGAGGAGGAGGTTGTTGACGGCGATCATGACTTCGATGCCGGTGCCGGAGAGGGTTTCCATGGTGTAATGATCGACGTCGAAAAGCTTGACCTTTTTTATGCCGTTGTCGTGGAGGAGACGGGCGACGGTTTTGGGAGGGAGGCGGTGGAAGGTGATGGTGCCCCAGTTGACGCCGAGGGAGGCGGTGGCGGAGAGGAAGAGGAAGGCCGCCGTGAAGAGGGCCGTCGTCCAGAGGAGGACGGCATGGTGGGGGGGAGGCATTGTAACGGGTTCGTTTGCCTTGGGTATGGAGCGGGAGAGGAGTTGGGTTTATATATATATATATATATCGAAGGGAGCGGGAGAAGGAATGGATGCGCGGTTTTGAAGGTGAGGGAGGCAGAGAGAAGCAGTTTGTCAGCTGGATTGAGGAACCAATTGTGTATATTTAGGAAGAAGACGACCGGTGGGGAGGAGAGAATTGCTCTTGAAAGGAAGACTTGGGAGGAAGACAGAATCTCTGAAGTACAATCTTATTGTACATTATTTGTACAATATATATACAATGAAATTCACATGCATATAGATTCTAAATGAAAACTATCAAAATTAAATTCAAGATCATCTTATATATCATTTTTAACAATAGTCAGTGTCAATATATATAAATAAGTTGAATTTGTGTAGCGCACCTCAGTTTGTTGGTTGACATCCACGGTATAAGTCCTCTTAGGTCGGGGGTTCGAATCCCCTCTGACGCAGTTGGCCTTAAGGAGGTGGTACTCGAATTATTTGGTACATTAGGAGTGTCTGGAGGCTCGTATATATCCTCTGGCCATTCTTTAGAAAAAAAATAAAAAATTAAAAAAAAAAAAGTTGAATTGAAAGACAATAAGATTGTCGATGTGTTAAAATGAGTGCAAATGAAACAATTGAAAGACTAAATGATCTTTGAATCTAGCATGCTTACAATCAAATCTAGTGATTTGACCAGAAGAATCTAATGAGAATGAATCATTTAATTATATGATAATTATGACACTTAAATGCTAAACCATATATGATAGAACACATGCCATCCCATCGAATATCAAAATGCCAGTTTTAAAAATCAATGAAGAGTCCCTCATTTTCAACATGAAGATGGAAAAAGTTAAATGTCAAGTTCAAACCCTCGGAGAAAGCTTGAAGCCAGCAATTAACCCGACCACCATTAGTTGCTATTACAGACCAATTACGATCATACAACTATTGTAACCTGATTATTGTCTCTAGGTTGTTGTTTTTTAATCATTTTAACATGATCAATCTTTGTGTTTATCGAACCTTATTATAATGAGAAATCAAAATATAAAAAATTTTCTCAGTTAAAGAGTTAAAGAGAAGAATGGAACTTTGTAATTTTAAATATAAATTAGATAATTCTAACCACGAACATCCCTATAGTTTTTCTTTTTCTTCGTAGATTTTCCACGTAAAAATGTTAAGGACTTTTATCATTTTTTATATGTGTATTGAATATTCATACTGAATTAGAACTTCATATCTTGTCCATTGTGGATAACCATCAAGCATGCAGCATAAATACTTATTAGTTTTCTTATGGCTAAATCAATTTGAAATTTGGTTTCCAAGCACCTTTTGCTTGGTTGATATTGTGCAATAGATTTTGTTATTTATTTATTTATTTTGTTTGTTAGGGGTCTATATACCAACAGCATCAGCCTAGCATTTCTACGACCTCGTTGTAGCCACTATTTGCTATGGACGCCAGCCATTTTCTTCTTGCAGATTAATTAATGGCAGTGTTCCTAATTTGTTCGAGAAGCACATCCTAAAAATAGAACTAGGAAAGGAGGGAGAGAGAGAGAGAGAGAGACTCAGGGAAAAGAGGAAACAAGAATGAACAACAATATGTCTTGTTTATCCCCTTTTTTTTTCTTTGCATAAAATATCTTTCTATTTAAATATTGGGGAGAGTATAATATAGTGGCATTAAGTTTCTTGGCCTCACCTGCTTTAATGTGGGGTTGTACATGATACTCTAGGCACTTAACATAAATGATTCTATCGCTGAAGTGTTCTTCGGCTCGATGAACAAGCTTGTTTGGCCTTGGTTTGATGAGGTTGACCTGTTCTGTAAGGTTGAGACGACATTGTCGATTGGTTGAGTTTGATTGACGTAGGATCGGTAAACACTGATTCGATTATAGTTAAGTATTGGTTGATCCAGTTTAGCTATCAACCATCAATCATTGGACGAGAAGTTTTTGTTGACAGAATAAGACTAGACTATCGAATAAAAGATGAATCACCATAACCCGATATGTAGCTTGTTTCTCAAAAGGGAAAACCTATGGGATGATTATAATGTTATGTTGTATAGACAATTCTTGGTCCGTGGTGAGGGTCCTCGAGGGCGTCCGTGCAACCGCTGATGATGTTGAAGAACTAGTTCTTTTCTCGGGATTTACTGAAAGGTAGGTTGCTGACTTCAGTCGGCCTTCTTTTAATGGTTAGCTTGAATACTTATTTCTTATGTTTGTCTGATTGGTTTGAATTTGGATCGATCGAATGTCCTTTTATCCTTCCTCTGGTTCGGCCTTCAGCTTAGACTCAGACAACTACTTTGATCGGATAAATGGGCATCCCGGTCTTCTCCCTCATTTATCGTAGTTTCTTTCTTCCGGACTGTTAGATCACCTCGGGATCAGTGCCCTGACACATTTTTCATGTGTAGGTGGGGAATTAAGCAAGTTTTTTTTTGTGATAAATGCACCTAATTTATTTTTAGTATTATGAAGAGCATAAATTAATCAACAATTTTTTTTTTAAATATCAACTAATTAAATTTATTAATATACACACTTGAGTTAATGTGTATATGCAACTAAATATTTTTTATTTTTAAATTAAATGTTATTATTTTGTATTATTCTATCTTTTTTTATGCTCGTATGATTGAATTGGTTGCTAGCTTATTTTATGCTCTGTAATTGCCATTCAAATATAATGAATTTAAATAAGATTATAATATAGACCAATCAATCAGTTCTATTATTTATTTTTATCTCCAAGTCTATTAAGTTAACAAAATAAAATGTATCATAATTACTTTTTTTTTTCCTTTTGTTGTTGAGAGCCATGAAACTAAATTTTTTAAGGGGATGTCTTATTTGTACTAATTTATTTCCTTTTCAAAATTGTTTAGAGTTTTTAATGACTTAACAAAACTTAATTTGATAAGAGCTATTCAAAAGTAATAATAATGTTTATATACATGCATACCACGTAATTATTTACATATCTTCGGTATGATAATTAATCTATGCATGAAAAGATGCATTTCACTTTTAAGAAGCGACAAACAAATTTGATGTAATTTTAAAGACTTGAATATTATGCGAAAGTTTAAGTGCTTGATATATAAACACGTCAGATTTTTTTTTTTTTTTTTTTTTTGAAGCTACTGAAGACTGTTAAAAAAGCTACGATAACTGTAGTAATTTTTTTTTAAAAAAAAAGTCAGATTGTAGCTTTGTAACAGCCACCGCAGATAAGCAGGTCTGTTGGAAAAAACACAGTTTTCATTTGTAGTTTTTTGATACCACAAACAAAACACAATTTTGCCAAATTAAAAAACTGTTGTGCGATACGACACTCCCAACGCACCGTCGCCCCAAACACACCCCAAATCTATTCTCATGATATCAAAAAACTCTCCAATTCAGATCTCTCTAGATTTGATTGTCAATCTGCTAAGCGGGGAGATATTTCAATCCCACCCAACATCCAGTTAACCATACAAAATCATTTGACATCATCCAAGTTCTTCAAGTTGTTCAAGGCCAATGAGTTTGACGACTATCTTGATGGATTTATTCCATCTCCTCCCCCACATACTTCAGTCTGACGGATCTAACCAATCAAATCCCAACGATTCCAATGACTTCTTGTAAATCAAAACCTGACCGCTGCTCTATACTACACAATCTCTCTGTCGTTGCTATCTTATGTTGTGAATCTTGATTCTTGCAAAGAACTTTGGCTCGCATTGGAGCACCGGCTTCAATCTACCAATCAATCCCTGATAATTCAGCTCAAGAATAAGCTCAATATCTTACCATGAAAGATCAATCAATCTATGACACAATATTTATCAAATATTAAGGCCAAGGTTGATGCTATAGCTGCTGCCCGGTCATTCTTGGATAAAGAAGACGTGTTCCATCACACCCTCAATGATCTTCCCTCCATAGATCAGACATTCCAGATAGCCATCCACACAAGTCTTCAACCCATCAGTTTAGATGATCTATACTCACCATTATGCTACGAAGAAAACAACCTAGCCGTTGAACTCCAAAAGGAACTATAGATTTCTGCTCATTCCCAAACTGAAACTACTCTCCACTCTCAACGTGGCAGAGGTCATGACAGGTTCTCCAATTCTCAAGGTAGATCCAAAATGACAGCTTCTTGTCTGACTCCAAGGTACAACGACAGTTCTTCTGACAGCTTTGGGCTTTGAGTAGTAGAGGCGACACCAATGAATCCTTTAAGCCTTTGAATGCTTCTTTGCATTCGACCGTCCACTCGAAACACTGGTTATTTCTAATTGCCTTGAAGAATGTTGCACACTTATCACCCGACTTCGGAATAAAACGGTGGAGTCCCGCAATTCGGCTAGTTAGTTTTTGTATTTACCTTTTTCTTGAGGAAAAGGCATATCTAGGATCGTCCGAACCTTTTCCAAATTGGGCTTCAGTCCTTCGGAGGTCAAGAATTTGTCGGTTGACGCTCCTAATGTGCATTTTGCAGGATTTAACATCATAATAAATTTTTTTAGAGTTGCATAAGTTTCTTTAAGGTCTTTTATGTGTTTCTAAGCTAATTTGTTTTTCACAAGGACATCATCCACATCGACTTCAACGTTTTTTCCCTTTTGATTAGAAAATATTACATCCATTAAGCGTTGATAAGTCGCCCCAGCATTCTTTAGCCTGACGGGCATTAAATCAAAACAAAAAAATTCCTTACATAGTCATGAAAAAAGTCTTCTCAGCGTCGACTGGATGCCTCATTATTTGGTGGTAGCTAGAGAAAGCATAGAGGAAACTAATCACGGAGTATCCAACCGCGGCGTCCACCTATGTCTTTTGGGCAAGCAACATTCAGATTCATGAAGTCGATGCACATCCTCCACTTGTCGTTGGGCTTTCAAAACATTACTACCTTTGAAAGCCAAGTTGGATATTGAACTTATCGAACGAACCCGTCTCTAGACCTCCACTGTTGTTGGCTCTGCTAAGACGCTTGCGGTCAATCAGAGTTTTTGCTGCACTGACCGAGAGAAAGGAC